GATAAATATGTTCATAGTCCTATATTAATACATATATCATTATATAAATATATTTATATCTATTATATTAATATATGCTAACATCTTTACATATATACATGCCTGTATTTATACCTCTCTAAATGTCTTTTCCCTCCATTTCCTTTTACTTTCCTACTGTCCCACTATCATGTTCAACCTTCACTTGGCTCTCAGTAATTCCTCTCAGCTCCATTGCACTTGATCAAACCCCACCATTCTACACTCTCTTCACCATCAATTTTTAGATCTCTTTTTGTTCCCTTGTCCCTAGATTTGTTGGCTCCCTCCTCCCATTTCCCCACCTCCCACTCTCCCCTGTTTCCCTGAAACCATCGGTCCCCTTGTTTTCTCGTCGGGATTGTTTACTTTGCCTATCTTATATAGATAGACATGAAGAAAAAAGGGGCCTATAAATAGCTCCAGGCCTGTCTGCTGACCTTTATATACATTTTGGATCAAAACTCTAAACTGTTATTTCATCTAGAGCCTAGGAATTTTTAGTCCAAGTACACAAATTATTTTCAATTGCCTTTTTCATTTAATTGATGAATCAAAACAGACTGAAAGGTAAGAGCACCTCTAAGCCTCTTTGTTTGCAAAGTACTTGTTGCACATGGCTTCCCATAGGTCCTGTTCTCCCGTCAGTCACTGTCTTGGCGATTCTTATTATCCCCAATGTCAGCAAGCACATGCAACTGTGTTTAAATCCCAAGACAGAGAACCATGACTGTTCAAAGTTGGACGAGTAAACAGTGTGCCGCACACCAGGAGAGGGAATATATAAATATATGGTCAACAAGTGAAATGAGAAATCAACCTTTGGTCTGTGCTTATGAGGGGAACAGGTACAGTTCCGCCGTCCGGGGGTTGACTCGGAGAACAAAGACTGGAACGAACACTGTTTTGAGAAGCTATTATGTGTTACACACGGTGCTAGGTTCCTAGCAGTACACACACTGCTTGGTCATTAAGGAAACATGAGAAGGTACGGCATGCTCCTCTCCTCTTAAAAGTCTCACCAGCTGGACAACAGAAAAGGGGGTGAAGGGAGACATCGGACAGTGCAAGATATGACCAAATAATACTTTATAAATTATCAAGGGTTCACGAGGGAGGGGGGATCAGGGAGGGAGGGGGTAAAATGAGGAGCTGACGCCAGGGGCTTACGTGGAGAGCAAATGTTTTGAGAATGATGAGGGTAACAAATGTACAAATGTGCTTGACACAATTGATGTATGTGTGGATTGTGATAAGAGTTGTATGAGCCCCCAATAAAATGATTTTTTTTAAAAGATCGTCCGAAAGAGATAAAAAAAAGTCTCACCCCCTCCGCATGGCCTCCAACACCCGGCTGCTTCCACTCTGGGCTGGCAGATGGATCTGTTTACAGATGTTGTCTCTCTCATGGATCAGCTGCAGAACCTAAGCAAATAGAACACTTTATGGGTCGTCACAAACCTCACCAAAGAAACTTAACGAAACAAACAACACGACTGCCGTTTCTGATCAACATTTCCAAACAAGAGGCTCATTAAACCAAACACACGAACTACTCAGATCCCTTCCTCTGTTCAAACATTTCTGTCTGTCACAGATATTTCACCCGAGAACATCTCTGCTCTCCAAGAATGGAGGGAAGACAGTAAATTGAACCTAAGACATGAGCTGCTGACAGACAGGACCAGCACATGGGTCAGATGCTGGTGGGCAAAACAGAATTTCCTTCACCTGACATTCAACCTTTAACAAGCGCTTTATCGTTCATTGGGGAGCCCTGGCGGCACAACCATCACAGGTTGCGCTGGTGACCGCAAGGTGAGGTGTGCAACCACCAGCTGCCGGGGGAGAAAGACGGCACTTGACTCCTGGAAAGAGTTCCAGTCTCGCAAACTCACAGGGGTGGCTCTACGCTTCCTATGGGGTCACTGTCAGTTGGCATCAACTCGATCGCCAGTTGAATTTTTGGTTTTATCTAAGGTGACCAGATTTTAACATTGGTAAAGTGGGACAAAAGCAGGACACCATTGATAAAACTCATATCCTGGCGAAATAGCCACATGGCAGCCGAAAACCGTATACCCTAACTTGTCGTGCATTCTTTCCAAAAATCGGGACTTTTATAAAACGCCGCGGGATGCAGGACAAATTGTTAAAAATCGGGACTGTCCCGCCAAAAGCGTGATGTCTGGTCACCTTATCTTAAAGGTTTGTATTTCAAACAAGCAGCCATCTAAACGAGGAATCAAATAAGTCCACAAAGAAGCAGCACAGCAGCTTATGTGATCCAAAGATAAAAATAACAAACTTCAACGAAGGGAAAAGTATCAGAGCTAAAATTGTGAACACCCAATCTGTGGAGGCTGTGGAGGACAGTGGGAGCCCAAGCCCCCTGCAGAGTATTTAGTCAGACTGAGCCACTGACAGATCCCCTCGAGCCCCAGGCAAAGGTCTGGAACAGCCTTCCTATCAAACATAGATCATTGTAATCCTGACTAGGCTGGGTCAAACTTGATACTCAGCCAGTTGACCTCTCGCTAGACCAGCGGTTCTCAACCTGTGGGTCTCGCCCCCTTTGGGGGTCGAACGATTGATTCATAACAGTAGCAAAATTACAGTTAGGAAGTAGCAACAAAAATAATTTTCTGATTGGTTCCACAACATGAGGAACTGTACTGCTCTAGACCCAGCCTGAATTTGTTCTAGGTGCAAGGACCTCTTGCTTGTTCCAAGACAAAATTTCCTTCCCTGGATTTTTAAATATTGATGGAGGTCTTTTCTTTCTTGCTCATTGTTAGTATTTTTACCTTTGCATTACTATTGTTTTATCCTTACCACCTCATTCAGCTTTTGTTCTTTATTGTTTCTGTCGGGTTTACCAGTGTGTGAAGCACAGGAATGAATGCACAGAGATAGCAACACACACAGATTTGTAGGGGACGTAAGGGTGGGTAGATGAGGGGACTTCAGGAATAAACAATGAAGGCGGGAGGAGGAGGGAACATTAGAACTGAATGTGATTACACAACTTATTTTAGAGGTGATTTAATCATGGGGAAAATGTTCTGAAACTGATTGTGATAAGGACTGGACAACACTCCTTGGCATGACTGAATGACTGGATTGTATGATGCGAATCATGTGCCAATAAAACTGGGTTAAAAAAAAGACTACCCTGAGATACTGGGCATTACAAAGAGGAATGACAATGCCATTCCTCTGAAGTTCATCCAACTAGGAACCTGGCTGTTTTCTTTCGAGAAACCCCAAGTAGAATAGCAGATTCCAAAAAGAGCAGGAGGACAAGAAGTCAGAAAACAAATCTAGAATGTGTTCCTGATTCTGCTAAAACTCTGAAATGTGTTCCTTCTGTGTATGCCACTGGGAGGCAAGAGATCAGCCAGCTACAAGGCCTGAGGCCTAATCTGGTCAAGTTTAAAATCTGTATTCAAATTCTTACTTAACTGTGGTTTTTTTTTTCCAGTTTTCCATTAAAAAATATTACGTGCATATATTTATATCAAAAATTTAAAGCAAATTTTATTTATAAGATATTTGGAAAATGGGATGTAAAGTCACACAGTAATGCTTGAGTCTGGAGAAGGTTCAGGCTCCCCACTCCCCACTTTAACAATACCTCGCTGACAACAGCATTAAAAATATAAAACACTCGTGAATAATCCACACCAAAGACGTACAAGGCCTCCACACTGAAAACTACACAAGGTTACTGTGGCGTCAACCTGGGTGGGTCAAGATGTGGAATGGCTTCGCAGCTAAGGCCTGGTAAAAGCCCCACGATGTGACCCAGCACAGTGTAATCTACTCCAGGGTGGGATCTGCTGGGAGCAGCCAAGCAGCTATAAAAAAATGACAGTGGGATGAACACCCTTAGTTCAGGTCACAGCCCTGGTGCAACGGAAAGGAAGCTTCTTCGGGGCTATGGCCTACTTCCCAGTGGAGGCTGGAAAGGGGTACAGGCTCTATGTCGGGTCTGAATGCTGCAACTGGTTCGTCCGCCTCTGGTTCTTCGGACGTGTACCAACAGCCTCCACAATGCCTGCCAATCCTGGGAGTTGTCAGCAGCCTGCCCTCTAGTTTGCCAGCCTGGAGCCATTCGGCTCACCAGTCAGAAGTCTGACTGCTGACCTGGGATTCACGCTCCTCTCCAGCCAGTGCTGACCTTGAGTCCCTCAGCCCACAAGGCTGCCCTCGCAAGGAGAAGCCTCCAGCTGAGCACTGGACCTCAGACTCGGAGCCTACTTGGGGTCAGACAACTTCTACAACTGTGTGCGCCATTTTCTTGATATAAACTCACACACACACATCTGATAACGCATCTGTCTACAAGATCCATAAGAAACTTTTACAACTCAAGAAGACACACAGTGCAGCGGGAAAAGCTAACAGTGAGCCAAAAACTTAAGACATTTCACCCACACCAAAAACCTGCCAAAAGGGGGGGGAGGGTAGATTTCCCCTGTGGAGCATCTTGAATACATTGTTTCTAGTTCACAATCCGAAACAGATCATAATAAACCCCATATTACAGAGGACGATGACAAAGGAAGTCACACTGGCTATGATAGGTAGGTTTAGTGTGCCAACCTGGCCAATAAACACATGTGGGATTAATAAGGTTGCAGTTTAATTGAAAGACAGTGAGATAAATGGCTCAGGGACTCTTGCCTTTCTGTCTCTTGCTCTATGATGATCAAACCAGTGTGCGGCTACCTGAGCTAGTTCTCTGCTTCAACTTGCGAGCTACACTACCTGTGGGACCCCCAACCCATGGACTGTGTCACTGTAGTTTGAGGCTCCTTCAAGACCTGCTTCCCCACACTGCTCATGTACACATCACTTGAGCTGGGGACTGTCGGACCCTGTTATCTGGCTGACTGTTGGTGACCTGCCCTGCTGCTTGCTGCCTGTGGCTGGACTGCCTGTATTGCTCTACAGAAGACTCAGCTGTCTGCTTCCTTGACTTCCACCCAGCAGTTGAAGGACTGCTAGTGTATCAACTGTCTCACAGCAGTGAGTTGCACTAAGCCATCTGTACTGCTCTGTGGACTACATAGCTGTTTGTTCCTTATGTTGTATCTACTATCTATCTATCTATCTATCTATCTAAAATGGTAAGTGTCCTGGTGTTGTTTCTCTAGAGAACCCTGTCCAACACTCTGGCAAAGCAGTGGACAAGCTGGGCTCCAGAGTGCCTCCCTCCCCAGCTTCCCTCCACCACTCACTCACAGCTGCTGCCTGGTGATCAAAATTCTCTGCACAGCCCCCCTGTACCCCCAAGGGGCCTGAACACCCTCCCCAACCCCCCACTCCCTATCCCATCCACACAGGTAGACCTGCGATCTTTTCAGAGGTCTACAGTTCACCACAGGACCCCTGGAGCAGAAGTCAAGGTCTGTGTTGCCTCCCTACTTTGGCTTGCTTAAAGAGACTGATGTTGGACTCTCCCACTCAACTGGCACGCCATTTACCTCATCAGGAAAGTCTTTGGGGTGGGGAGAGGTGAAACGGATCCTCATTTCTGGGTCTACTCTGGAGACATGATCCAAAAGGTGAGCAAAACGTAGGCCTCCTTGCTTGGTTTTATAGTTGGTGGTGAAGCCACGGCTGAGGTTGGTAGACGTGGCACTGTTGAACTGGACCTCGGAATTGTCCCGAAAACTATTAACGTTCTGACCAAGGAGTGTCACTTCCTTCAACCCCTGAAAAGGAGCAAAGAAAAACATTGGAGATACCTTTGAAGGCTTGCTGGTAACGGCTCTTGGCCTGAGCACCATCTCTTTAGAACACACTGGACCATGCGAGTGAGATGGCGGCGGAAGCGAATGCACAAGCGAAGTACAAAAGGAGAGAGAAGTGACAGGGGTCCAAGTCCACACCAGCGTGTGGGCCCACAGAAACCAGCTGCAGGAGTGTGAGACACCAGAGGCCGGGGACACTGGCACAAGTTAACGGCAGGCGCTGTCTAGAACTTCTGTCTCAATGGAGCCAGAAATCCCATCGTTCTTCAATCACCCCTCACCTTACTCACATCAAATCGGTCCATTCTGAACCGATCTATAATCTTCTGGATTCGTTCTGGTCTCACTCATGGCCGAGGATAATAAAGGTTCAATAAATCTCTTCTTCTGTCATAGCTAAAGAATTTTTTTTTTGAAAGACCTTGGTTAAAATAAATAAATAAAAATACATAGCACCTTCACTCCAAATCACTAATTTAGAAATTAACTGATTCTACCAAGAAACATCCATATCGATGTTGTCTTTAAACCAAGAATTTCACACCCAAGCATCTTGCCTAAGGAACTGAACTTCAGACAAGAGCCTCCTATAACAAGCCAGCATCAAAACATTCTTTAAATAGCAAAGCACTGCACTCAATGTTCAGTACTAACGGTTCATTCATGACATTCTATCAGTTGACGCGATATAATTGTGACTGCAGAATTCTTACCAAAATACCTCCCCTAAATCCAATCAAGCTTCCACAGTGAACTTCCAGTTTACAGGAATGCAGAAGCATTAGATGACAGCACGAGGAAACCAGAGCAGCACAAGGTGTGCAACATTCTAGGCCTTATCTCAAAAGGTCAATGTGTCCTTTTAAAAGGCAGTGAACTCGCCATCCGGAGAGGAGGAAGAAATCAAAGACCCATGGAGACAATGAGTCCGATGGACAGATGGGTCATGTGAACACCAGTCTCCATGAACCTGACACCTGATAAATAAGATAGGGCCCACTGCCCACCACCATGACCAACTTCTCAGAAAGGGGTCACCTTGAAAGGGCCTGTTTTCAGCCAGACGGTGGTAGACCGGTCTTTAAGGGGCGCAGTAACACTAGGGAGGTGTTATGCACGTGTTCTTTCAACTCATACCTTATGAGAACAAAAGGGAAGCACTGAGCCAAGAACACAGTTCAGAAGGGTTTGTCTGGACACATTAGGTCCTGGATAGAGTGGGAGAAAAGCATGGAATAACCCAAATTCCTAAAAGGGAAGCAAGCTTCCTGGCCAGAAAGAGACTGGTGGTGCCCCCAGGACTGTGGCCCTTAGTCATCCTTCAGGCCTCAAACTTAACTCCCCTGAGCTAGAATCATCAACCTTTTCAGACTAAAAGGGCAGCAAAGTTTACCCAAGGATAAAGTGCCGGTTAGGAAAGGAGGAGGGACAGAAGAGAAAACACAGAGAAGGAGCAGGATAAACGATGGGGCATTAAGTAAAGATTATACAATTCTCCTTGATATGAACTATTGGATTGGATGATGTGTACATCATGTGCCAACCAAACTGCTAGTGAAGCACTGTGGTACGCTAAGGGGGTTGCAATGGATCGAACTGAACAACCTAAAGAAGTGAGGTTTGGCGCTTACAGCGGGGAGGAAGGGTGCTCTTCAAAGAAGGGAGGGGCATAAAAAGTGGCCTTGAGCACCCAGAGGCCACACTGGGAAACAACGTGGGGATGGGAGAAGAGAAGAGCTCCGCCAGGAGGCACCACGAAGGTAGAGCCAGCTGGGAACGAGTGAGGGAAACAGGACGGCCACAACGGAAGGAAAGCTCCATAGCCCACCTAGAGTCCTCTTGTGGGGAGGGACAGTCTTCCAGGGTCCACTACTGTGAGGAGGAAAAGGAGTCCCTATCCAGCCCCGATCTCAGGTCCAACTCACTCTCCTCGCCTAGACTCAGTTCCTCAACTAGTGAGCTGCCTCAGCTGCCAGATGAACCAGAGCAGAGATACACCTGTGAAAACTTGAACTGGCCAAAGTCGTGTGACAGATATAGTCATAGCAACGACAGTGTAAGAGGGTAGTTGCTGAGGCTGCTAACCAACTGCCTTCTGGGATTTGGCTCCTGGGGTGGAGGCTTAGGGTCATGGTTTCATGGGCACACCCATTATTCGGGGCAGCGTGTTCAATGTTTCTGGTCTGCTCATTGTGCAGTACCTGGGGTCACAGAAACCAGCAAGCAGAGCATCCATTCATAATTGGTGTTGATTCACCTGGAGCAGCAGACAAAGCAGTCATGAAGAGAAGGAGGCTACACAAGTGTGGGAAACAGTAAGATTTCTCCCAAACCACCTCCCCCAGATATGTTAGATTTAGGACATTGCTTGCAGCTAATGGTAAATAATTGTCAAGTTACCTCCCTGAAAGCAGTCAGTTGCCGGACTAGAGTGTAGTCCCAAACGGTAGGTCTGCTCCCTGCTGTTAAGGACAATAAGCTACTTCTCCCTAAAGGTTTGCAGTCATTGATTTGATTCCTATAGGTGGCATTCACACCTACTGCTAATGGTCTCTATAGCTGAGCTAGAGAACAGGTCATACTGACCTGGTGACATCCAGTTAGGCTGCCATCCTAAATCTAGGATCCACCCATCTTGTCACAGGTATACCCCCATCCCTCCTCTTCCAATTGCATGTATACCCCTAGATCATCCCCCTCCCTTTAGTGTATTACCTATAGCACCTTTCCTGTGAAGTATGTCTCCACCTGTAATTAGGGGGCTTGCATATCCTCAGAGAATATAAAAGCCTTGGTGAGCTCTAAATATATCTCTCTCTACGTGGACCACCAAGTGAGGCTGAGTTGAGCATTGCTACCATGAAATGTGTCTGACTCCATTATTTGAATCTCTCTTCTATCTCTCATGCTCTCTATGACTTTACTATAATCTTTACTTATTATCACTGTACAATTGCGCCTACCAGACCGGTGATAATGTGTTAGGGGAAGAAAGATTGCCTTCTTGGCTGTGAGGCCAGAGAAGAACTGACAGGGCTGGCTATTATTACTGAACATTTCTTTAAAGAGTCTACTGAAAACTCCTGATCACAAGTGGCAAAATGCAGGTCCAAACTCACCATCTCAGGGGCTCCAGACCTCCTAAATCCCTAAAACTACTGCCCTGAGGTCATCTTACATCTTCCACCACAAATTTCCCCCGAAGTCATCTTAAAATCCAACAACAGTTTAGCTTCACTGGTGACAAAGGTATGCCTTGAACAAGATGCTCTTTTAAACCTATATAGGATCAGGTTGACTCCCAGCCATTTGAAAGACTAGCTAGGGACCTGCGGGCACAGCGAGGTGATGTTAACAGGGGAGGAACCACGCGGAAAAGGAGGATGACAAAGAGCGTCAGTGCCACTGGAGTTACCTGTTCAAACTGCTGACCTGGTGTTGTTGTCAACAACACAATCAAAGTGAACTTGAGACCTGGAAGAACTCCGTAAGGTAGAGACACAGTCTGGCAAGTCACACCCTGAAAATGCACTGTGTGCCCCGGTCCTTTAAAAACCAATCCTGAGCCGTGCGGTAACCCTGACGGAAGGTATTGTTTATCCTCTTGTCACGATGGGATGTGTACTTTGAAGCCAAGGGTTAAGGGACTTTTGAGAGATAGGTGGCGCCGGAGCTCACATCATCATCTGACTCGAGGCCTGTGCTTTTTCCATTCCACCCTGCTGCCCCTAAGCCAGTGTCCACAGCGGGCGTGGCTGTCATCTGTGGGCAGCAAATGCAAGTTATGTGCCAGGAGTGGCCCCAAACTTTTGCAACTTAGAGAAGTAGCAGCACAGGCTCCCACGAGCACATCCCGGGCCAAGCCTGGAGGGCTGTTCACCTGCTCCGAGAGCTTCCTCACTTCCTCTAGAATGGAGGCCACAGGCCGGCTCCTCTCCCGGCCGCGCGTGAAAGGAACGATGCAGTAGCTGCACATGTTGTCACAGCCTCGCATTATTGACCTGGGGAAGAAAGCACCGGAAATGAGTGGGGGGCCAGGTCACAGCTCCCCTGGCATCGCCCTTTGGCACCGAGTCCTCAGGTGCCACACTAACCCTGGACCGATCCGCGATCTCAAAAGCACGGAGGTAGCCTTCTTTGTTCATCTTGAACACTGCTACGTAACCTAAACTGCAGGGGGTGGGGCGCAGTTCCCTGTGCTGAGGGATGACGGTGGTGAGGGGCTGGGCCAGGGCCTTAGCACACGTGGGCTTTCTACTGTTGGTCTGATGAAAGGATGTATACATTCCAGAGCCAAAAAGAAGTATGTATGGGTGGGCTTAAAACACAGGTCTCTGTCTTGCTCACTTGTTTCTGACCCAACTCTGAGATGTCTAAGTCAAATTTCTCTTTTATTTGCATTCTGAATATAAAAACCTCCATTGCCATAAGGAAATAATTACAGATTAACCATACTATGGGGTTCACTGCAGAATGATTTCATAAATGAAACTATTATTTTTATCTTTTTTACAGTTTAATTGACATATAATGTATGTACCTACAATTCAATGGTTTGAAAATATTAAAGCAAGTTAGGTAACTATTGTTTTTACTAAGCATCCCCACAGTTTATACTATAAACTCCTTTTTTCCCCCTCCCTCCCTTACCCTCCTACCCTTGTGCATCCTTGATCAATTATATAGTGTTATTATTATTTCATATCTGATACTGTCTGGTGTCTCCCTTCACCCACACTTCTGTTATTCGTCCCCTTGTGGGGCAGCTATCTACCCAATCTTGTGATGGATTCCCCCTTTCTCGCCCTTCCCCCTCCCAGCCCATGCCCCTACCCTCGCGATAAGGCATTGAGTTTATAAAGCCTGTTATTTTGGGAGATCAACAAGGCTTTCTTCTCAGGCGCCTCTGGGTGGCCTCAAACCTCCAACCATTCAATCAGCAGCCAAGCACGTTAACCATTTGCACCATTCCATGAACAGCCAAGAGTAAAATCATTAGTTAATCAGTCTCTGTCACAACTACTCAACTCTGCTGGTACAAAAATAAACACCAAGCTCCCTGCCATGGAGTTGATGCTGACTCACAGCGACCCTACAGCTCATGCCCCTGTAGCTCTCCAAGGGAGTAGACAGCCTCATCTTTCTCCTTCAGAGCAGCTGGTGGTTTCGAAGTGCTGACTTTGCCACCAGGGCTCCAAGTATCAAAGGCAGCCAGAGATCGTTCATAAAGCAATGGGCACAGCTATATTCCAATACAACTTTCTTTCCAGAAACAGGCAATAATCCATTCATCAACCTCTGTTACAGGAAGGTTATAGATTCGCCATATCGATCAAGAAAAAGTTATCAGACTAAGTACTAGAAGAGCAATTTTTATAAACACATGCATAGAAGCACCCTTACAGAAGCACATGGGAAAAGAACAAGAATGATGTACACAAAAAACAGGGAGCGTATTTGTCACTAGACTCGTTTAATAAATGGTGACTAGGACGCTTGGTCAACTGAGAGGAGCAGCATAAAGAAGGCCCTCAACAAGACAAGTGACAGCCTGGCTGCAGCAATGGACCAAACACCACCACTGTGAGGACAGCGCAGGACAGGCAGGGTGCCCTTTTCTCATGAGGCAGCAGAAGTCTATCAGTGGTTCTTACAGCCTTCTTTGTACTTTCGTACCTTTTCCTTCAATAAATAGGAACTATTTCAGAACCTGATTTTTACTTTCCTTGCGTAAAAGATCCGGAGAGCCGGATAGGTTTCTCGTTCGGCTCTTTTTCATAGGTTTTAAGTGAAAAACACAGGTTTACAGAACAGAGTACAATCACTGGTGTAAAGGGGGGAGGTTGAGGAAGACCCCGTATCAGTGTACAAGTGCAAAGAATATTACAGGAAAGATTCTATAGGAAACAAGGCTGCAGGGGAGTGGGGAGGGAGGGAACAAATGAGGAGCGGACACCAGGGGCTCAAGTAGAAAGCAAATGTTTTGAGAACAATGAGGGAAACAAATGTACAAAAGTGCTTAACACAATGGATGGATGGATGGTGATGAGTTGGACAAGCCCCCAATAACATTCTTTTAAAAAACTGCTGCCATGCTGTACGCTACGGGTTGTGTTCTACGCCCTGTGCACGTGTTACTTTTCCAAGCCATAAAACTGCATGTGAAAAGCAAGAGGCAGCCAAGGAGGTTGACTCCCACCCCTTGGGCAGGAACTCACACGAAGGCAGAGGTGGCACTGGCGCTCGTCTGGACTGGCATGACATCGGCGTAGGTCTCATCCAGGGAGAGCAGCACATTGGCAGCCTGCTGGCCTGACTCCGCCACAGCCAGCAGCCGGGGGAGGTCTCGGTAGGCATCAGGACCAGCCAGCAGATCCACCGAGTTCTCCCTGTGGAGGATCTCCTCCTTCAGCCTCTCAGCCATGCAGCCTGGGGGCGAGAGGAGCACAGTCTCCGCATCCAAATGCATCCCTCTCCTGGCTGCTTCCCAGTGCCTGGAATCGCCAGCTTGCATTAGGGACTCCTCAGAGAGTCCCCTCCAAGAGACCCGTCATCGTCATCCCTCACAGAGGACCAGCACAACACAACACAGGCAAGGGGCACCAGAGCACTGGGTGCCCGTGAAAATCTCAACCGCGTCTGAAGACCTTTGTAGACACGCATCATCGCTTTTCCAGGTGAAAATGACTTCTTGCCACGAGGGAAGCCTAGTTCACTGCCAGACACGTACTTCAAAACCAACTTACTTACAACTACGCTTAGAGCCTCTCTCCTCTTCTGGCCCATACGACGTGAAACACCTTTCGAAAAAGAAGCTGACCACCTGTGCCGGGATCTTTCCGGCACGACAACAGGTTACTGGTCAGCCTACAGAACTCTAGAAGTCCATTTGATGATGCACACTCTGCGGAAACATGATTCCTGGGATTGCTGAAATCACTTACAGCTACCCACGCCCAGGGGCTTCTACTGGGACGGCCCTGAAATGGACTAGCACCTTGAAAATACGTGGCTCAGTCCAAGCCGCCAGACGCAAAGGGACGACAAACATTCCAGGACTGCGTTTCTGTGACAGAGCTGGAGCAGGGCACTGAGACACAGAAAGCCGGTTAGCGATGGACCTGGAGGGAGGAGGAGCTGCGAGTGTGCTTGGATGGTGACAAACCTCTGGAAACCAGCAGAGGGAACGGCTCCTCGGTCCTGCATGTGAGCAATGTCACCAGCGAACGCACCTGAACGTGGCTACCATGGCAACCTTCACGTTGGGTATTTTATCACAAGGGAAAAGCGCAAACATTTGGTACATTTCCGCTAACTCGGCATCTCTTACTATAACGAGTCCAATGTGTACTTGCAGCTTTGATGTTCTTCACTCTTCTTTGCCCAATGTGGAGAGACCAGTGGGAGCAGTAACCCTTACTCGGTCTACCTTTAATCAAATGCTACCAGGCTGGCAGTGTCGCTGTGGACTCGGCATGCTTCAGAAGGCAAGGCAGACAGTGACCACACTGTAAATTCACACTGCTCCTTCTGACTTCAAATGCCTTCCTAATCATAACGCTGCCCACCTAATCATTCGACTGTAAGAAAAATGCACACCTCTCTGGACACCTATTACTCCAAGGCATTATGAAAGGCTCTTGATAAGCTTTATCTCATCTGCCGCTGATATTAGCACCAAAACTGTACAGGGCACAAAAGATTTCTTCACCCACTGGGAATTCAGTCTTTTTTTTTTTTTTTTGACGGAACCAAACATACTTTATTTTCATTTGAGGAGCACAGGAGGAGGGCCCAGCAGACAGGGGTGTGGAGTTGCGACTGAATACAGTCTCTAAGGGAAACAAACACAGAAAGCCGCCTAACATAAAGCCCAAGGCTTAAAACTAACAAAACCTGAAAGTACTGGGTACCTAGAATCCCGATCCTCAGCGGCACTCGAGAGCGGGGTCGTTTTGTCTTCAGGGCTTTAAGCTGATGTAAACGATTCCAGATGGTCTGCTCAGCCTTCTCCCTACAAAGAGCAAAGGAGCAAGGGAGAGACGAGCATGAAAATAAACCAGGGAGCAATTGAGGGAGTGGGACAGTGAGAAGAAACAAAAACAAGCTTCAATCCTTTAAGGACTGTCCACCTCCAATACTGTAATCCCTTGAATGATGTCCCTGCTGCGGAGCTCTGAGTCCTGCAGGGGCTTAGAGCAAACTAAAGCAACCTCCTTCCCAAAGCCTCCTCCATCTCTCTCCTGCTGGAAGCCCTTTCTACTTCCTTTCAACTGTCCTTCCACTGGATACTTTTCCCGAATCTTAGAAATTTTTTTTACATTGCTGTTTCCCTCCCGCCCCCCAGGGGGCTTTCTCAGGAGAAAGACAGGGCTTTCTGCTCTGTCTCTGAACCCCACAGGGGCAGTTTTATCCTATCCTACAGGGTCGCTGTGAGTCAGCATCGACTCCACGACAGTGAGTTTGGGCTTGTGGTAAGGGGCTGGTTTTCCGCCATGTGTTAAGTTTGTGGGGGATCTGCCGTAAGTCCTCTTTCAGACTGAGCTCCACAGAGCCAGGCCCAATAGACAGCTCATTTGTAAATCTCGCAGAGCACCTAAGTCAATGGCTTGAGCAAAGGCCCTCAAACAAAAAGGCATTCACTGAGTCACTGATGGCACAGCTATGGAAACATTTACACTACCTTATTTGCACGGGACATAAACCAGGTAAGGAAGTACCAGACCAGGTAGGCAACTTGATGGATGACACCCAGTCTATCTGGAGGAACGCTGGCCCCTGACCACTGACCACGCGCCAGCCCAGCAAACTCCGTTAGAAAGCCATGGCATTTGTTACGGAAACCCCGAGTCACCGGGTGAGTCCGTTTCTTCTTCATCTACGCATCTCCCTGTAGGAGTGTTGTGAGAACTCACAGCCTCTGCCTCTCTAGTGCCCGGCCCAGGGCCAGGTCAGCCAGCTGTGCCATGGCTAGTCCCCACTGCTGTGAACCTGCGAGTCACCCTGAAAACAGGTCTGTCAGCTCACTGCCCCAGGTAGGCCAAGCCTGGCACTGCTTGCTGATGCCCTCTTGGCTACAAGACCATCACTCTCTAGTTAAAGAACAAACTCTCACCTGATAGAACATGTGACAAGAAGGATCACATCGGCCTGAGTGGGAAGCAAGGAGGGATACAAACAAAAATTACGACCTTTGGAATCAGCCTGGAAGAACCCCTGCCCTGCCTTCCATTTTTAACTTGGCACCCACTCCCCCAAAACAGTTTCAAAACCACTGGGACAGAAGTGCATGTCAGGATAAACCTCAACACCATTGTGCCAAGTGAAATAAGCCACCCACTCAGGGCCACATCCTGTGTGATTCCATGTACAGGAAATCCACCAATCAGGCCAATGCACAGAGGCTGCAGGGGGTGCGGGGGG